AGCCAAAATGTCGGCTCGCCGGTCATGAAAATGTCAGGGTGACGTAGACGTGGATAGAGAGAAGAAAAGTGAACCGGTGCTGGTGAAACTGAGTTATTCCAAGTGACAGGAGAAGAACTTCTCAGAACTGAGCGACTCCATCGCCAGTTTCGTGGAGGCTCGAGAAGTTCTCGCAGGCTGTGGTGAACCTGACAGGGTGGGCCCAAGCCTGCGTCGTCCTCTGCGTTCAAAGGTGCTGGTTCTCATGTTAATGCCAACTCGAAGATAGCTGCTCTCTTCCTCCCTGTGTCTTGCTGCATGTATTCGGACAGGTATAGATTCCGACATGAGTGCATGCGTACATAGTTGCTTTTTCATTTGCATACCTCGTGCAGATGGTGTAAGCCCGTACTGACATTCGGTGCTGGGTGGTATGCTAGCTCTTATCGTAAACTCAAGCCAGGAGCTTAAAACCCAAGGAGGATGTATGGGACCTCGTGAGTGGTCACAGTTCGAGCTCAGTGAGGTTTTCATGTTTCAGTTTTTAAAGATGAACCATCGGCTAAATTTGTGTGATCCTGAAGCTCGAATCCTCGTCAGACGCGAGAAGAGCCGTAGGATCCAGATAAGCAGCCCTATCAAAAGTGCACTGTTGAGCCCTACACCCGAAGCCCCCTAAACCCTAAACTCGAAGTCCTAAGCCCTAAGCCCTAAACCCTAAGCCCTCTGGTAAACATCCCTGAACCCTCTACAGGCCCCCAAACCCTGAACCCTGAGCTTCAAAAAGCCCAGGCGGAAGCCCAGAGGCTCCACAGCCTTGGCTTCGATGTGCTCTCCGCCGAGGAGGATGCCTCCCGGGAGGCGGCAGGGGCCAAGGAGAGTCCCTTTTTGGGTTTAGGGTTTAGGGTTTAGGGGCCAAGGATCCGTTGCCCTGTGGCTTTGGAGTTTTGGCCGTTTGGGGCTTATGGTTTAGGGATTTGGGAGTTTGGGATTCTTTTGTTCTCAGCCTTTCGGCAGTGCGTCTGAAGGGTCTGCAGAAGTTTTAAGGAGATCTTCTTATCTCCTTGGCCAGGGACCCTCCGAAGAATGGAGGTTAGCATGCTCATGGTCCAGCCATCCAGCTTAATACTTAGGGTTTACGGTTTTGGGTTTAGAGTTCGGAACCTTGCCTCAATGCATCCTAACTACATACAAGCTTATGTGCATATATTTTCTTCTCTCTCTAACACGTGTTTGAAAGCCTATGACTAAGTGACAAGGGCAACAAGACTTCCAGGGCACAGGACGTCTCACGAGAAATTCCGCAGTGCGCTTGACGCCCAGATGGGGTCCCGGTGAATGTTCCGAAACGTTCAGAGTGTAAGGTTTTGCTTTTTGAGTTTAGGTTTTTGGGTTGAGTTTTCAGGGTTCAGGGTTTTAGGTCAGGGGATTGATGCTGATGGCCAACTCAAAAGCCCACGCCTAGAGCTTGAAGTGAACGTGCTGCGAGCCTCTTTGTTGCCGCGGCCATTTTGGCGCCCGAGGGTGCTGAGCCTCTGCACCCTGACTAAGTCAGGAGCCTTCATAATGTGCCTTGGCCGCATCTTGAGGGGTCTGTCGAGTGGTATCCTGCTGCGTGGAAGATCTCACCTTGGTTTGCAGGGACCGTTCTTGAGAGAAGCCTGCCCGGCTCTGTAGGCAGCGGTTTTCCCCTGTGCTTGCCGCTGCATACCTGAAAAAGACGATGCCCTCGAGACATCCAGAACCGGCAGCTCCCGAAGCTTCATCACCACTCTTTTGAGCACGCTCAGCTTCTAAACGGTGAACGGCTGCAAGAAAATGACCCTAGTCGGCCTTGGGACCGCAGGAATCATGCGCCGCCTTTGGGCGTTTCTGTGGCTTCTGCCGGGGTCAACTGCCCTCGGGGCCGGCCCGCGGCCGTCCTTGATTCGCCATGAGGCAGGGTTGCTGCCGAGTCAGCAATCGATGTTTGCTGTTGCCGTCGCGATCGACGCTGTCGGCATTATTGCCTTGCTCTTGCTGCGAGTCAGTTATGTTGCCTCTTGCACAGAATATGACAAGTAATTTGAGCATCTCGGTTACTTTCGTGGGGAGTAGTCGTTGTGCTTGTACTCTACCTGGCTTCTGTCTGCTCGCGTCTGAGATATTTGTAGTGCTACGACTGCTGCGATCATCCCGATGATTGATCGACACCATGTTTTCGTCTACCACAAATGAAGGCAAGTTCGAACGCAACATCCTGCAAATCTGCATTCGCCAGGTGCTAGCCGAAGGAGCAGCAGCAGCCCATCAGAAGTGGGCCACCGAGCAGGTAGGATTGGGGCTTCAGCTCCGTTACCGCACAAAATCTAAAGTGTGTATCAGTAGGTCATCCCGAAACCCTAAGCCCTAAACCCTAAACCCGAATCCCAAAACCCTGAAATCGAGCCTCAGGCCAGCCTCAAACGCAAAGCTGCCGCCCGCACGTCCCAAAAACCGTCAGAGCATCAAGGCCTCTCCTTCTTCCCGATAGCCCTTGACCCTAAACAACCCTAAACCCTAAACTTCCTGAGCCCTAAAGCCCTAAACCCTAAATAACGTAAAGCCCTGAATCCTAAACAACCCGAAACCCTAAGCAACCTCAAAGCCCAAAGAGGCCCTCAACCCTAAACAACCCTAATCCCTATGGAAAGCTGTCGGAGCCGTCGGGAGGAGCTGGTTGAATCGCCAAGCGCTTGCAGGGACTGCTGCAATGACGGCAAGGCTTACGTGCCATGCCTGGACGTAGAGGCCGGGCAGGGAGGAGGGGGAGGGCACAGAGGTGGTTTTGTTGCGGATTGGAATGGTGTTACTTTCGGGTCTTCGCGGACCGAGCGAGTGAGTGAGCGAGTGAGTGACTGACTGACTCTCTGACTCACAGAATCACTCGAACAATGAATGACAGAACGAACGAGCGAATGAACGAACAGACACATGCAGCATGCATGCATACATGCTTATAAGTGATTATAAGTGTATGATTATGCAGTAGTGGCAGACACGCACGGAGATAATATTTGTAGGCAGGTACAATGTAGATAGAAAGAGAATCAGAACTGAGCTTGTGCGCTGTTCATGTTGCTCGCCAGGCGTTCAGAGTTTCTCATCCAGAATATTTCGGGCCAGTCTTTCAGAATGTGAGCAGGTTTTCCAAGCATGAGCAATCGTTTAATGCCCCAAACCCTTGATGGCTAGGCGAGCTCCAATGAAAACCATTTAATTCTCATGGCTGTTCGTGAGGGTTCAGGAGTGCATGAACTGCTTCATATGAACATGAGTCATGATTGAATACGTATGAGTCATTGGAAGTAGAAAAGACCGGGAACATCCGGGAACGGACCAGGAAAGGCTTTCGAAAGGACACATATTGTTTGTTGTTCGGCAGACTTCATGACATTTTTCAGAGCTGGAGTCCTGTTGTTGATAGTAGCCCGTCTCCATGTGGTTGGCAATTGCTTCGTCACAAAATTCTGCTTCGAAGTTGCCCGTAAATTATATATATACACATATGTATATCGCAAACAGACCAGACAGCCTGTAAAAGTGGAGGCCTGTGCTGCAACAGCGCCGGCCACCGGGAGGCGCATGCTTTGTGGCAGTCTTAAACTGGCCCTAAACCCGCCTAGGACTGAATCCTGATCGGCTGAGTCTTTTGCTGCTATGCCCCGTCCCTTCAAAGTCCGAAGAAGTTTCGGAAGCTGGCATCTACGAAGATGTCAGTCTTGGGAGCTAGGAGGCATGAAAGAAGTTGTGTGGATGCCCATACTGGGAGTCTATATGTTGAGCATCCTCAACACGACCCAGAGCAGACAGGAGCAGTGTAGAGGCCCTTCCCTTGTGAAGCTTTTCGGCAAAGGTATGCCCTGATCTTCTCGTACGTGGGGAAGTTCGTACCGAAAGTGCTGCAGTATCTGGACTCTGCGAAAGCAGCTGCGCTGTCTGCAAACAAGGTGCCGACAGCAACCCACATGAGATCAGATGTGCAGGGAACTTCTGCATCGTTGCCGTAGCCACATGAACCCTGCTCCTCATCTTCGTGTGCCTTTCGCCCATCAGGGACAGGCTGGATTTTTTACTAGAGGCGAGCCGAGGGCAGTCCCTATGCCCTAAACACACTCACTGCAGCTGAAGGTCTGGCACGGATAAAGCATCGGCAGCGAAACGTTGACCTTTCCTGTACCGAGATGCCAAATCCCTAAACCTCTTGCCCCTAAACTCTCTTCACACACCAAACGCTCTGAACAGTCCTAAACCCGAGACCCCTGTGCACAACTCTATGAAAACCTTGTTCAAGCTCACGGGAGCCACAAAGCTGTAGACCCGGTTACAGCACGTTATAACACGATGTAATATAACAGAGTCTATTGTAATATGGGTAGTTTTTTGAATTAGGGTCCCTTTTTGGGGTCCTTTTTATAAGGGTGCCGTACTATTTTTGTGGACCTGAAAAGGGACCCTAATTTAGAGAACTACCCATATGACTTCATAACATGGCATAAAAAGGCCGACCTTCTGCTCCTCGTGACGGAGACGGATGCGGCCTCCATGACTGCGGCGTTGAGGGCCGACTTGGAGAGGGAAGGTCGGGCTGCAGGGTTTTGTAGGGTTTTCCATGCGGGGTTTTATCGGATATGGGGTTCAGCAAAACGTAAGGGTGGAGGTGTGTCAGTGTGGAGTCTGTTCGGTGTGTAGCGGTCAGTGGAGAAGGCTTTTAGGTGACATTTCCAACTTTCGGTGGTTATGGTTCTGCAAGCTATTCTTGTGGCTGGGTATCTTGCACCGTTTCACTTTGGTTCTCATGGTTACTTATGTTGACTGATCCATATCAGGTGTGTTTGTTTTTCTTGTGAGGATGCTTGACAGCGCTGTCAGCAGCCACCCTTGTGATCAATACTAAAATGGTAGCTGTTCTATTGTTACGACCTGCTTATTGCAGCACCATGTTTTCGGGTTGAGGTAGTCACGGGATCTGCAGCAAGGAGGGATGTTGTGCCTGGTTGTTGCAAGTCAACCTCAACCTTACAGTAAACCCTACACCCAATGCCAGCATGGAGGTATCCAGTTACGCACCGTGGACTGGTCCCTGCCCCCTGGGATGCGCTTCACGAAGGCAGCAAGCCCGACACCGAATGCAGTTCAGGTTTATGGATTTTCCTGATCTATCAGTTTAGCATCCCATAGATGTTGCACAGCAATTCCGAGTTCTGCTTGAGGCAAAGGTAGTCGTGCCGCATATTGCAGCCTATCATATTCAGACCCACAACGTTGAGCGCGAGCGCTTGGTTTGCACAAGCTCCCTGTTGAAGCGGGAACTCCCGAACGATGCCTCGAGCACTCCTGGCCTCTGTCCTGGTACCTCGCCGTCGCCAAGCCTTTTTTCTTACAACTCTCCGGCCCTTCGCCTTGGCTCTCAAAGTCTGAAAAGCCAGGAGGAGAACTGGTGCGGCCAGAAGGACTTCATCCGGCTCCATGCCCTAGGACAGTTGGAGAGTGAGGGTAGCGATCTCCATGTTGAAGTTGTCGAAACAAACGTACCAAAGCGAAGGGTTCCGAGATAATTTGGTGGTTCCCAGAGGCTTGAGTGATGCCGGAGAGTGTGTGAAAGGACTTGACGAGTATGATGCCGTTGCTTACTTCGACAATGACATTGAGTTCCAAGGCGACATCACCCCGCTTTTGAGATGTGCATCGACAGGCCTGGGTTTGTTTTTCATGCTTTCGTCTGCCTCGATTGTATTTCCTCGTGGATGCTGCAAAGCCGCACATAGTGATTGTTGTTCCTGGAGGTCACTTCTTGTCCACCAACGGTGGCATTGGGGAAGCACTGAATGTTGGGTTCTTCGCTCTGCAGCCCCACAAAGCCTTGTTGCAAGCGGCAGTGGATTTTGCGTGGCTTGGCGTTCATCTAGATTTCAGCGTCGAACTTCCAAGCTCTGCATCATTCTCATAGAAAAGGGTTGTAATGTAAGGGGGGCTATTCCTTAGAGTTCCTATCGCAACCACTCGATAATATCCCCGCAAACCCTGTTCTATTTGCTAGTTATTAAGGCCCCTATATTCGTTTCGTTTGGCGAGGAAAGAAGCGGACTACTCCCAGCTAACTGGCTGGGCCAACGAGGGCTGGCGGCCGAGTGGTGGCTACTACGTTGGCGGCGAGTGCGGCCAAGGTTTTTTCCACACCCTCTTCTACAAGCGGAGCTCGTCCTTGAGGTGCCTCACGGTAACCATTTCTTAGGGCTTCTTCCTTAGAGTTATAGTGTTCACTATAGTGTCATATACTCCAAGCCCGAATTAGTCTAATTCTTACGGGGTCGTGCTGTCTTATGTGTCCTGAACCAGGCAGCTTGAACCCTGCATTTTAAGCCGTAAGCCCATTTGGTCCACTGTCCGATTCCAGAACCTGCATGCCAAACCGCTGCACCGAACCCGGCCCAAGAATGGTGCAGCCCTGCAGGGCGATGATGGCACGGTTGGGCAGGAAGTGGACCTCCGCGCAGGTGGACCGGGCGGACAGAATCGGAAGTGAATGAGGGTGGATTTAGGGTTTCGAGGGTGCGGGGTTTTTGGTTGCAGGGTTTAGGGTAGACTTCAGGTAGGGGCCTACATCAGTCGTGATTGTTGCAGGGTTGGGAGGCCTTTTAGGGCGGATTTCGGGGCATGGATGAGCCGCAAAGGCGCGGCTTGGGGGGAGTCCTGCAGCCTTTAAGTGCTGCGGGTGGCTAGGGCTTTGGGTTTGGGGTTGACGGTTTTGCACTTCGGAGAGGGCTAGGTTATGTGGGCAACAAGCGTTTCGGGTTAGTTTTGGTTTGAGGGATATTTGTAGACCTACAAAATGGTCTAGGTTTTTTGGCTTCTTGGCCCTTTCCTGCTGCGAGTGAATAGACCGGGAGAAAGGAAGAGTGCTATTCAATCTTGTAGTCGTGGTCCGCGTGAACATGCAGCAGGACAAACGATCGTTGCGCCATTTGTCTTTGCAGCTCGATACCCTAAAACCTAAACCCCAAAACTCTAAACCCCTAAACTGCTGTTGCTGGTCTGGACAACAGCCCATTATGGTCGTACACAATACTCCTATACTTTACTACAGTCCGAAATCCTATTATGAGTATAAGGTCAACGAAGAGCCCTTGTGTTGTTGGCTCTGCAGGGCACAAGACCCCTCACTTGAAGCCCTCAACACCTCTGCGAGCCAGGACACTCTAATCCCTCTAAACATAGGTTTCTAACCCCTCGCCCCGAGGTGGACAAGTGCGTCTGGAACTACCAGACGAGCTTTCAGTGCCGGCGAGGCTTCAACTGTGCACACGTGAGGGTGCACCACAAGCCGACAAGGCCTCTCGTGGCCTGCGTTCTGGGCTTGGGGCTCAAGATCTGCGGACAGGCCTTTCGGGGTTTTGAGTGAAGGCTTTTCTGATGTTGGATTGGGCCTCTACCGGGTTACCTCGTATATACACACACCTAATCCCAAGCCCACGCAGCTCTCGCTATGAATCCGAAGCTTCTGAACGCTCGGCGCCTTTCTGCCCTGCACCCTGATGCTGGCAGCAGGCTTAGGGCTTAGAGGTTTCAGGTAGGGCGCAGGTACATGGTGCAGGGCTTTTGGATTGAGGTTTTGTGTGTTGGGGTTCCGGTTTTCGGACTGTGTCAGGTGAAAATCACTAGTCGAGTGCTTCCGAGACGAGAACCCTTTCTTCTCTTGATGCAAGTTTTTCACCCACAAACCTCCCTAAACGTAAACCCTAAAACTCAACGTGCATTGAGACTGTCGAGGCCGGGCACGGACCCTGAGGAGTGCCTCAAAAGCCAATTGATGCAGCAGAGGACTCATCGGGTTTAGGGGCAACAACATGTACGAAAATTTTGCTGTAGCGCACATACTACTGCTAGTAGCTCTTACTGATGACTAAGCATACTACTAAAAGCAAGAAGATCACCACCACCACGACGACTACTACTAGTGCTACTGCTCCTGCTATTGCTACTGCTGCTGCCACTGCTACTGCTACTGCTACTGCTGCTACTACTGCTACTACTACTGCTGCTGCTGCTGCTACTACTACTACTACTACTACTACTACTACTACTACCGACGAGGACGACGACGCCGGCGGCGACGACGACGACGGCGAATGATAGTAGTAATAGTAACAACAATAATATCAATAATATTGGCAAAAATACAGTAAGAATATTAATAGCAATAGTAGTATCAATAATGACAACAGCCATACTAGTAATGGCAGCAAAAAAATAGTAATAACCGTAAAAACAGTTACAGTACTTGTACTAGTAGTAGTAGTAGTAGTAGTAGTAGTAGTAGTAGTAGTAGTAGTGGTAGTGGTAGTGGTAGTGGTAGTGGTAGTGGTAGTAGTGGTAGTAGTGGTGGCAGTAGTAGTAGTAGTAGTACTAGTAGTAGTAGTAGTAGTAGTAGTAGTAGTAGTAGTAGAATAGTAACAATAACAATCATGATCATAGCGCTTATGACAACTACTCGTAGTCATGCTCATACCGTCCAGTATGGTGTTTTGGGCTGCATGGTTGGGCAGTTCCAATATCAGTACTGGTATCAGCTTTGCTGGTAGTGGTGCGCTTTTAAAGGTCACTAACCGTTGCACATGAAATCGTGATTTTGTTGCACGCCAGTCTCCATCTTGATAGATTGCTGGTTCGTGCGTGTCATGAAGTCACAGCACAAGAAGCTCACATGCAGTGTGGCAAGAAGTTGTCCTGGAGAATTCGAGATTGAATGTTCGTGAAGGCTTGAGTTTGCGGTCTGTTGACATGGTCCGAAAAGCTTCAGTCCGGGGAGAGGCATGGCCGGATGGCAAAGTGGCAGTACACACGCTAAGACGGCAAAAGTGCACATGTCCTGCGCCTCACGACAAACAAACCAGAACTGTGACCAAACCGTGAGCGCAGCGGTGCTGTGGTGGCAGTTCAAAGCATCAAGTGGGACTTTCCGAAAATAGGGGACCCTAATATAGTACCCTAAATAATAGGATCCCTATTATAAGGACCCCAAAATAAGGTACCCCCTAATTTTCTGAAACTCCCAAGTCGGAGCGCCGGTTGGCCATGCGACTCGCGTCGGCTACACCTTAGCCCCGGACCTAAAGTCCACCGATCCCTTGAGGCCTTAGCTCTTCGGTGTCGCCCTTGAACACTTGAACAGCGTATCCAAATTCCCACGAACCTCAAAAGCCTGGAAAAACCTTCATTCCCAAGCTCTCCAAGCTGAAGCCCGAGTCCTTAAACCACACTTTGCTTGGGCCCCGCGCCCGAGAAGGAGCTCGACCTCGGCCCGATCCATCTCCGTGGATTCTGGGGGCTCTCTTCGCCAAGCTCGGGATGGAGAGGTGCACAGAGCAAGATAGTGGAGATAACGTTTGTCAAGCTTTGTTGAAGTATGTTATAGTATGTTGCAGTGCGTTTATCGTGAGTGTTTTGTACGAATTCAAGCAGTATCGTCGTCCGTAGTCCGATGATGGTGCCCGTTTTTGTATAATGTTGTATATAACGCGAGAATATTGAAAAGTTTGGGGTACACCCGGACCGCAAAATCTGGAAGCACTTAGCTTATCACTCTTATCATCCCCCTTATCATAGCCCTTATAATAGCCCTTAGAGTGCCTTCAGCATGACCCTCGTGTTTTTGTACCCTCGGACCCGGAGATGCTGGCGGCTGGTAGGTTGGCTTCTACTTCCCCGTCCACGACCAAGTGGAGGGTGTCGTGGAGGTGATCCGCTCTGCGAGGCCATGTGAGAGGGTTTAGGGTTTAGGGGATGTACTCTGCTGTTTATGTACATGTAAAGTTGCCTGCCTTGTTCGTTGGTGCTACATTGCCTTGCTGTGGTCATGAGGGTGATTTCTCGGTAGGATTGAGTGGCCGTTGCACCATGATCTGCATGGCACATGATATGGCATCGCATGTTCATGTCGCCAGCCCGCCCTGCCAGTACAGAGGAAACCCAGATCAGCTGATCAGGCAGTTCTATCCGGAGTCGCCGATCTTCGTTCTGCAAGATGGCGGCTCCGTGGACTTCGGGAACCTCTGCAAGCAAGAGAGGCCCGCAGCCAGGGCCGAGGAGTGGAGGGTCGGAGCTCCCGAAGCCCGTCTGAAGCCAAACCGGAAAACACTGGAGGTTCCGGTGCACCTTCGAGCGGATGCCGGGCGAGAATAGCCGCTGGAACCCCCACTCCTGGTTCGCACGCATGCGCCGCGCCGCTGAGCTCCTGAACACCCGGCCTCCCGACCTAGTCTTGGGGTTTAGGATTTAGAGAATGTATGTACGTGGAAATGTAGGTGTATGTAAGTGGGAATGCATGTATGCAGCTGTGAATATAGGTAAAAATACATGTATGCAGCTATGAATGTTTCATGTGTGTATATATGCACACATGCACAATACCCGCCTGTGTAGATGCGGGACAATATACAAGATGTAGCACATATACTTCTCGCACAGCTTAAAAATAGTAACCTAAACCTGTACCCGAAAGACTTTTCAGCCACAAACCCCAAGTTCTTTTGAACTCTTTAACCCGAAGCCTGCACTGTGTCCGCACCTCCCCCCCTTTCCTGCCACCCTATGCGATGAATACACACGCACTCATGCACACACGCACGCACACGCAGGCACCCCCAGACACCCACCCACCCACCC